TTTACAACTTTTGAGCTTGTGGCTTATCTTTCGTCGCGAGCAGCTTTGTGAAAAACGCAAGTCGTAGTACCTCATCGTACATGTCGTACCTATTCCAATTATTATAACCTATTATTATTATTTTCACTGCCCTTACTTGGACAGATTCAATTAGACGTGAGAGCTCTTTGATAAGGCCCGGGTGCCAGACGGGTGCAGCATATTCCAGAATCGGTCTGACGTAACCACAGTAAATTTGTACGAGATCTTTACAGCTAAGCCTAGATTTTTTTAATATACGAAGCATGAAAATTTTTTAACTGGCTCTTGCTACCAAATCATGAACGTGTATGGCCCATTTAAGGATGGCCTGGAATGCGATCAGATGGCATGGGATGGGATGGGATTGGATGCGGTGCGATAGGAAGGGATGGGGAATGGGATTGCATGGGATGGGATGGATGCATGGATGGATGCATGGATAAAATAGTTAGATTGGGGGGGGCATAGTTAGCATGTGATGGGATGCGGTGCGATGGGATGAGATGGGATGGCATGGCATGTGATGGGATGCGGTGCGATGGGATGAGATGGGATGGCATGGCATGGGATGGCATGGGATGGCAATGAATTTTTAGTGGGGGGGGGGCACCTGGGGAAGCACAGAAAATTTGTGGGGGGCACGTGCCCTTCAGGCCCCCCGTAGCTACGCCCCTGCCAGTCAATACAAAATCTGGCTACGTTACAGAGTCGCTGACGCGTGGCAAAGCTACTGGGGAAAATATTTTTGATTTTTAAATTTTTAAATTTATTTTCAAATATAATATAGTTACATATAGTTATATACGTCTCAGCGATTTTTAAATAAATGCAGCGAGGGAGTGCGAGTTGACTGTACAGTCTACTCTTCAAGTCACCCACTCCGCAATATATAGTTATTTACTGAAATTTAATATATATAAAAAAACACCTATATATAACATATGTATCTAAAACTATATATATATACTAGCGGGATACCCGGCGTTGCCCGGGAAAATCAGTGGCGTTACTCAGTTGGTGACCGCTTGGGAAATATCCAAAAAAATCTAACTATCTATCTATCCATGCATCCATCCATGCATCCATCCATCCATCCCATCCCATTCCATCCCATGCCATCCCATGACATGCCATGCAATGACATGCCATTGTTTTTTATTCAATTTTTTTTATCAAGCGCCGTTAGAACAGTATAATACAAAGAAAAGTTATATATTGTGCCCCCCCCCACGAAAATGTAAGGCCCCCCCAGTGCCCCCCCGCTGAAAAAATCCTAGCTACGCCACTGGTATGCAGTATGGCCGGAGGTGTTTCGCGAAGTCGAAGACATGCAGTGTCACTTAAATGTGTACGAATACCAGGCTGCGAAACAAACTATTAGTAGTCTTAGTAGGCAAAACTTTCCAAAACAAAAATGCAGGTTATTCAGCAACGTACATGTGTCACTGTCGCACCTATTATAACAGTTACACTAACGAAAACACGAACTAAATAAATTAGTTAAAACTAACAAATAAATTAGTTAACGAAGTTATGATATCAGAAGTGAATAAAAAACCTTGCACTTGACGGTGTGATACACCTGATTTTATTAAATCTATTTTATCGTATTTTTTTCTTTTCCTGACTAGAGATGGCGCATACGGCTGGTATTTTTCCTCCAATCAGTGCTGCTATAACGATATCATTGATAAACGGTCTCCAGTTGACAGCCAATCGTACAACGTTTTTCATATTATTTGCGCAGAAACAACATGACATGCACCACGAATGCAGCCAACGAGGTTTGACCACGTTGTGATGAACGATAGCGAACGTCCACTAGATACTAGTAATACTATAGTTGATATCTCATCTCCGATAACAGAAGTGCGAGAAGACGTTCATGACACGCAAAGGGTAGCAATGGCTAGTACTAGTAGGAAGAAACTAGTTATCTGTTTCGTGGGAATATTCTGCTGTTATTTCTACTACGGAATCGTGCAGGAAACAATGTAAGCAAACAGCTGTTGTCTTCCGTGTACGCGTGTTATTCATTCATTGTGTTCGTCTATGTTTTCATGTTACTATTGTTAGCAATAGCAGTTGGACACAATCTGTCTTTATAATCAGGAAGTTAAGATCTCGGCGTTATATTGCCTGAATTCCGTTCACATACCGGTACTCTTCTACAACACATAATCTTACCCCACGATCAGAGAGAATAGTCCTCTTGATAGTTTTGCTGAGAGGGTCTACGTCCCCCAGGGTACTGCCGGAACGTACCCTGGGTACGGTCCAGTATACCTGAACGTACCCTGGTACTATCTAATATGCCGGACCGTACCTCGCCTACTCCACTAACGAGTCTAGGGAGTCGCCTACGCCTACTCCCTAACCCTATCCCTAACTCTAACCCTAACCCAGGGTTCTCCCTACGTTGCGCAAATGGGGCGCCCGCGCCCCGTTTGGGAAAACTCCCCCCTGTTTCAATCGTTGTGCCCCGTTTGAAATACCTCCGCCCCGATTAAATTCCACCACAATAAAGTTCTGGAGCAGCGCGGGAATCGATCGTCAAGATTCCCATTCGACCAGGACCACCGACCGCGTGTATTTTTACCGTACCACGCATGCAACTGCAGACCATACACAAGTACAACAGTTAAACCTGTACCGAACCCAACACTAACTACACCAACTCGGCTATATCTTATATATACATAGAACCCCAAATACCGTCTTATGGTGTGGTGGCGATTTTATGCATTAATTAGTGGTACGGTAAAAAAAACATGCCCTGCCGGACCCCCTAGTTTTCCCTCCCTCCACCCCCCCTCCCCTCCCCCTGCCCCCCTGTGTTCAATTTCATCTGGGGAGAACCCTGGTAAACCCTAACCATGTCAAATTAGTTTACCAGGGTACGTTCCGGCAGTACCCTGTGGGAGCATAGACCCTATGAGCGATAGTTTGTGCACGAGCAAAGGCCGGCCCGCACGTAGCTCTTAGATAGTAAGAGCTAAGCCTTTAGCTTAGTCCCGTTAGGCCACTAGGCGTCTTCGAAGGGCAAACTTTGAACCTAGAGCTTAGCATTCCAAGAAAACGGTCCTTTGCTAGGCGATTTAGAGACCTGCTGTAGTATTGACCGTTAGTCACACAAGCCTGGTCCGGCTACCTAGAGCTAATGGGCCAAATTAAAAGCCAAAAAAAGCCAAAATAACGCCAACGCGGCACTGTGAATTAGTTTGAA